ATCTTTATTACTGGTGAAATTTAGAACAGGAAAGAATCCATAGTTTTGTGAGCCCTTGGAAATGAGGTGATCACTAAGTACCAGGATAAGCTCATTTTTAAAAGTTATGCCGGCCTAACCTGCTTTCCTATTTAAAGAGGGTAACCTATACTAGATGATCGTGGCACTGAGCTAAACTATGAACCTAATCCTCTTCCCCTCCCAAGAGACTGAAGTAGTGCAGGGGAGGAGGGGGGAGAAGGGAATTATACTTCCCACATGTTAGGATAACGTCTATATATTTGTGATTATACCATCTGAAGTAAACATTTATGTGCCAAAACTAATGTATCTAAATGGATGTGGGGTTTAATGACATTGTAGAGGACTATTCCCTATAACTGAGGGAACACCATTGGTGGGAGCTAGAGCCATATGCAGAGGGTGTAGACACTTCCCCAACTCCCTTTAAGGGTGTCAGGAAATTCTGAGGGAGGAGTAAAAGGTAACACACCTGGTCTTCAGGCAGTAAGGGCCAGGGTGGTCTGTGTTACATATGTAACCTGGGCTCCTCTGGGTGGGAATGCCCACACCACCCGAGTTACAGGGGAAAGACAGTGATTTCAGTTTTTGGCATTTTTTTTTAATATGAACAAATTTATGAGAACTATTCTTTAAGTTAAATTTTGTTTTTAGTTCCAAATTCTGTCCCCCCCCCCATCGAAAAGTCAAGAAAAACAAAACCTATTGTAAATATGTATAGTCAAGCAAAACAAATTCCTTCACTAGACATGTCAAGCAAATGAAAAGGAAAGGGAAAAAAAGGGAAGGGGAGGGGTAGGAAAGGGGGAAGAGGAAAGAAAGAGGAAGATGAAAGGGAAGGAAAGGAGGCTTCAATTTGCACTTTCCATCAGCTCTCTCTGGAAGTGGATAGCAACTGTGGTTGTTCATTATTTTGAACGGAGATCTCAAGTGTTTCAAAGTTGTTTATCTCTATAATATTGTTGCTTTTGCTTTCCAGAGTGGCTGGACCAGTTCAAAGATCCAAGAGTGCATTAATATACCTGTTTTCCCACAGCCTCCCTAGCACTGGTCATTTTCCTTTTTTGTCACTTCTGCCATTCTGATGGGTGTGAGGTGGCACTTTAGAGTTGTTCTAATTTGTATTTCTCTATTAGTGATTTTGAATGTTTTTTTTTCACCTATTAATAACTGGGCAGATAGGCATTATCATGGATAGAATTCTGGGCCTGGAGTCAGGAAGACTGATCTGCCTAAGTTTGAATTTGGCCTCAGATGTTAGTAGCTGTGTGACCCTGGGCAAATCACTTAACCCTGTTTGCCTCAGTTTCCTCATCTGTAAAATGAGCTGGAGAGGGAAATGGCAAACCACTCCAGTATCTTGGCCAAATGGGGTCACAAAGACTCAGACGTTGACTGAAAAATGTCTAAACATTTAATAGTTTGGATTTCTTCTTCTGAAAACTTCCTATTCATATCTTTTGATCATTTATCAATTTGGGGAATAGAGCCATTCTCTAATAAATACATAGTCAAAGAATAAGAACAAGCACTTCTCAAGGAAAAAATGTTATCAATAACCACAGAGTGGTCAACCTTTCCAATAATTAGAGAAATGCAAATTAAGCCAACTCTGCAGTAACATTTTATATCCATCAAAATGGCAATGATAGTAAAAGATTTTAAAATTTAATGCGGTATACCGTGGCCCAAGTAGCATCAGGTTCTGCGCCAAGTCTTGGGAGAAGTCCTCAGAATCACTCTTTATTTTACCCTCATTTAGAATTCCTTCTGGGAAATCTCAAATTTAGGCAAAACAAATTCCCTTCCCTAATCTTTCCAAAGGCCTATATAGTACTTTGAGGTTTCCAAGTTCCTTTGGAAGGAATTGCTAGCTAAGCAATCTTTAACATTCCAGTGAGAACATCTTTCAACCTAGAAATTCAGGCATGCATCTGACCTTTTATACTACGGCATAGATTCCCTCCAAAAGGAAAATGCATTTGGGGTTACT